TTCTGGTTAAGAAAATTTTAAAGAAATCCCTATATGGGTTAGATGTTTTATTTTACCTCTGTATCATTGGTTGAAAAAGGGATCTCGTAAGCTGCAAGAAAAATTTGTATACCTCTTACTATTGATCCTCTCAGCACCAAATGATTCATATTCATACATTTGCTAGGATTAGTATGCAAATCTCCACCATATTTGTCCTGCTTAACCAGATCATTATTTTAGTTAAAGGACAGGACATCTTGTAGCCTATCATTTATGAACGAAAACCCTCACAATGTGCTACTAGTGATACTTCCGCACATCACACCACCAACCATCCAAAATCTTCAAATCACTAGCCCCTTTACTAAACAAATTTCAGCATCTTGGTAGAAGCGGAAGCATCAACAGGGGGATTTTTTTCCTAGGGTCACAGCCACCCCAAAATGGTCTCCTTCAATTCAAACATTGCTCCCCCTGCTGTGGCACCAGATCTCAAAATTTCTATCACGACACCTGCAAATACTAATAGTTTTTCTTCTACTTCTTCAATTCCCAATCTTGCGAGTATCCACTCCAACTAATGGTAACTTTGATGAAGCCACTCTTCATCCTCCCAACACATCTGCTTCTAACCACTTGTCAAGCATACTTAAACTTCTTCCTCTTATAACTTCAACCTCTACCTCAATCTCTGAGGGATTATTATCACTTTAGAATGATATACCGTCCACCATAAAGAATAGGATAACTATGCAAAAGGAGAATGCCCTCCTCCATTCCTCAAAAACTGATGGCATTCCAAACATTATGATGCGGACCGCCGCCGGCCGGCAGAGGAAGTGCCGGCGACCCCGGAGCACGCGGCATCGGCCGGGAAGGAGACCGCGCGGGTCGATCCGCCGAAGGCGACGCGGGCGCGGGACTTGACGCGGAGCGGAGCGGGGGGTCGGCTTGAGCGGAACCGGTCCATTTCTGGACCGGTTTGGCTCGGGTCAGGCCTGAGCTGGGCGGTTCAGCTTGGGCAGCCCACTAGTGGGTTTGGTTTGGTCTTTTGCTTGCTATAAGTAGGGATTAAGGGGGGATTTCTAGGGTTATGCAAGAATTGAGTTTTCTCTTAGCCACCTTAGTTCCTTTCTCTAAGTTTTCTAGGGTTTGTAGTGGGAGACCTTGTCCTTCTCGAAGTGGACAAATTGTATCTTGTTTCTTTTGGATTTCTAAAGCAAAGGTTCTTGTTCTTCCTCTCATCCCTCTTGTGTTTATTTTTCTTGGATTTGGTGGATAAATCTTTTCTTTGAAGGAGCATTAGGGAAAACCCAAACTTGGGAACCCTAGGGCGTATCATTCTCATCCATGGTATGCCCTGGCATTCGAAGCAACTGCTTGCTGCCGACTGCAATTCATGATCAAAATGATCGGGAAGGCGAGTAGGATTTGGTTTTCAGTCTGTTGCAGTAATTTTATTTCACTTAAGGAAATATTATTCCTGAACTCAGGTATTTAATATAGATAAGAGCTGCTGACTGCAAATAAGAGTTGTTGACTTGCAGAATTTGATGAATAATTGTTGAAATGAGGTGTTGTTTACTTGAATTAGGTAATGTTGCTGTTGTAGGTTTGCTGAAATTGTAGAAATCAGTGGGCTGAAATTGCTGAATGGACTGAAAAGGGAGTAAGAGCTGTAGTAGTAATTGATAACCAGTGAGAAAAATAGAGTAAAACTTCAGCTAACAAAAAGGTAAGAAGCAATAAAGGTAAAAGCTGTACTTTTGCCAAAAATCAGTAAGAAATATGCTTAATTTTGAGTGTCTTGAATGGGGTTGACTTTAGATTCTCTACAATCAGTTTTTGGGTGTCATATATCAGTTGTTGAATCTAGTAGAGAAAGAAAAGGAAAAAATTTGAGAATGAGGAGAAATTTAGTAGAGGTTGTTTACAAAAGGAAAAGAAGACAAAGTATTGTAGAAGAATCAATTGATAACAAGATGAAATACCGAAACGATGCTATATAAATTAATAAATGTTTTATTTAATTGCACATCATATTTATTGTGTTTATGAGCGCATTTATTTCAGTTTACTCCGTTTATTTATGAATGAATATATATGAATATGTCATGAGGGCTAAAAAAAATTATTATTGGGAAAGTGAAATAAGTCATATATGGGGAATAAGCTCGCACAAGTAAAGGCGAAAGACCTGACGAGGTAAGCCTACACTCTCAATTCTAAAAGTTGAAAAATTGAACCTAACCTTGAATGAGAGAGCAGCTCCAATTCAAAAAGTTTGGAATTTGGACCCAACCTTGAATTGGAAAACTGAAAAATATGCAAAAGCTTATAGTTATCATATGATTTGTTTTAAGGTATTGAATAGTTGACAAGATAGAAATTAATTTTATGAATTTCTTATGATCAGTATGATATTTCAATGTGTTCTAACTTAAAGTTAATAATGATATTATTATTTATTATTCATTGTTTATGTATTTTATAGATTCTAGCTCATTAGTAGTGGTTGTACTGCAAGAAAAGCGAAGGAGCCAGTAGAGCAATAGGCGGAAAGGGTAACGGTTCTTTTATGTGTATATACTTTTTGGGTGTGCATAGAAGTTAAAATGGAAGTTGTACAAAGACTTTTGGTTATGTAAGTAAAATTTACAGGTTTTAGTAAAACTCTGTTTCATTTAAGAGGTGTATTTTATTTGAGGTATATTACATATGCTTCCTATTATGAAAATCTTGATGTGTTATGATTAGTTGTGTTAGGATAGTTTGAATAGACTATTTTTACCTTATCTAATTATGATATATGTGTTTCAAAATGGGGGTAAGTAAGAAGAATGTCTGGTCAGATTCTCCTTCTCTATTACACTCTAATTTGACTAACTGTATGAGGGTTAAAATAGGAGAAATGAAAGGGAGTGGGTTCCCAACTTGTTCGTTCCTGTGTACGTCCAACTGAGAGGGGGGATAGTGCTTCATCACGTGGTCTCTACATTCGATCTAGAGAGAAGAACATCTTGTGCGTCACATCTGGAGGAGTTGAGCGAGAACCTCATAATCTCTATGTTCGATCGAGAGAGACGAATGTCCGGTGAACCCTCTCGCGTGCGTGCGATCAAATGGGATCAGAGGCGCGTGTAGCCAGAAGATTCCGCGCTTGCATATGGGGCAAAACCATGCGGGAACGTGCAACCCTAAATCTTGCCACATGCGGTAGCCTCCTATCGCATGCGCCTGGGCCGAAACCAAGAGGAGCCAAGCAAGAGCTTGTCTCTAGACTTGAGGTCGTGCGACTACACAAGACAAGAGATCATGCATCAGGACCGAGCGGGTGAGTGCATCTGGACAGCTTTCATCTTGTTACTCTGGCCCTCGAAATTTCTCGTGTCCTCTGCATCTGCATCAAATCCTACTGGCATGCATGTCGTCACAGGTTCCAACCACTAACCTTCATCACCGGAATTTCGAAGAATACAGGTTCCCACCACTAGCCTTCATTACCAGAAATCTGAGGAATATTGGTCATTTCACCAACCTTCAATGCAAGAATTCTGAAGAATATTGGTCCTTCAGCTTCCTTCGTGTATCGAAGACCGAGGGAAGATCGAGTGGGAAGGCTCCTTTAGCGTGCGCCTAGGGCGAACCGAGCAGAGTCAAGCAAAGGTTTCCCTCAGGTGCGCGCCATTGCACAGGACAATAAATGATGCGTCAGGGCAGCATCTAGAGCCTCTTGGGAATGGCGACATTGGGCTCAGTCTTGGTTCTTGCATGCGACATCCAGAGTTGACTGAGCAGAAGCGAGATAAGTCGAGCATAGGACCTCTTACGTGCGCATGAAAAGAGCTAAGAGTTCCCTCTCGTGAGGGTTTAGGGTTGGGACAAGCAAGAGTGCAAGACCTGCAATCCTTCCACCGATCAGACTAGAGGGATCAGAGGCCTTAGATGCGCTTGTATAGGATTGACCGAACAAAAGTGTTCAGGTAGAGTCAGATGACAATTTTGCATTGGGCTGAAGGCTGGCTCGATCGAACAGGAGGAGATTTGCGTGCCAAGTGCCAAGCCAATTTAGATGTAGTTTTTAGCTACTGTTTTTGAAGAAATATATTTTTTTCCTATTGTCGGCATTCTCTTGTAGCAGCTATCCTATCTATAGCCAATGCATCCTTCATTGTTCCCTATTTAATATAGCCTTCATTACTACACTTTGCCACCACAATGGCTGAAGCTAATTTCTTCCAAAGTTTTGATCAAATGCAAGACTCTATGGTGCACCAAGGGACTTGATATCTCTACTTTTTGAGGACTAATTACCAAGCTAGGAATGACAGATATATATTCTCCAGCTTGAGAGAGAGAATTAAAATCACAGTCGTCCCTTGACACTTGATCCAACTGCCAAAATGGGAATACGTGGGAAGCTCACCAAGATCATGCCGATCTCTGATAAATCTCAATTGTTTCTTGACACTTAATCCCACGGTTAGGATGCGAATCCGTGAGAAACTCACTTGGATCGCACCGATCTCCTTCCATAATTGGGTGGCTGATTTAGTAAGGATTATATTAAGGCAATTATGCATGATTTTGTAATTATCTGTTTCTTTAGTAAGACATCTTGTATAGATTTATAAATAGGGATAGTTTTGTATAATAAAATTAAGCATTTTTCCTCTCCAATTATCTAAATTTAACATGAACACTATCCTGCACAGTAAACCAACAAAGAAAGCAATGAGCTGGCACGCATCATACATGAACTGACATGTTTAGTTTCAACCAAATAAAGTATGCATACACACATATGGCATGCAATCCAACATACATAATGATGATGAGCTTCAAAGATGTGACCTCTAATGGCAAACTATTTCAATAACAATTTTAGGAAAACAAGAGCAAACGACATAATAAAGGCACGCAAAAAAAATAATAACAATATTTCTTTAATATTCAGAGTGATTGAAGAGTAATGACTGAAGAAAGAAAACGCACAGAAAAGTCGTTTACACATGTACCTCGGTTCCTAGATGGGCAAGTAAAGATAAATGAACGCTTGATCCCCCAGAAACTGTTACTTGCTTGTATGCATCAAGGATGCGCATAAATGCCACTTTTTGTAGCTGATCCTTTTGGTCATCGGTCAGGTCTATGTTGCATAGCACCATCTTCGGAAGGAAATATTGTGAAGAGGAGACATGAGATGCTGTGGAAGGTGTCTCACTTGCATCTGTGGCTGTAGCCCTTGGGCTAAAGGTCTCCATAGAATAACTAACCGTAGAAGTGGATGGAGAAATATCAAGTGATACTACAACACCTGAACTTATGGCATGCTCTAGAGTTGCCTCCTTAATTTCATCCAAAACAAGGGATGCATCGGGTAACTCCAGCGTTTCGTTGAAACAAGTACTTGAATCAAGACCAGGTATTTTACCCTCTCCTGCTTCAGAATCGTTCTCATACAGTTGTAACCCCGCATTATTTTTCTCGATAAAGAATGAACTTGTGGCCACAGATGGATGCATCTCTGGCCCTATCAGAGCATGATCTGCGCTAGAGCTAGTGACTTTATTTTCCTCCTTAATTGTAACGTCCTCTTCATGTTTGATGTGAACTGCCTGCATGGACAGGGTAGGTCCGCCAGGCATGCAGATGACAGTAATTATCTTTAAATCACAATATCCAAATATCTAACCTGCAATATGGCATTGAAAGAAGAATAGTATAGAAAAAAATATATAAACCAACTTACATTCATATCTTGAGACAACTGTTGTGATTTTAACCGGGCTGTGACTAAAGAAAATGCACTTGATAAAGAGAAAGCATTTGAAGCAGAAGTTGAAGACTTAAGATCAGAGAGACTGCTCATGGAGTGGTTTGATTCATCCTCATCATCTGCCATAGGACTAGAAGATGGAAGATGTCGCATATTAGCCAGAACAACCTCTGCAAGTAAATCAGAAGAAATGCTTGAAATAAGAATCTCCAATGGTTCAGAAGCTTTTTCCCCTTGGGCAACCAAGGCACCAAACATTCCAACAAGTTGAAGTACTGGACCAGAGTCTCCATCCCTGGTAGAAGGCAAAGAATCGCAGGAGGCATGCTCATTCTTAACTGGTACGAGACCAATTTGAACAGAATCTTTGACAGTGGGTGATTGTCTAATCCGCTTCTCAGATACAAAATCATCTGCTAAGGCATCTTGGGACTCTTCATTTAGAGATCTTTTACGACTCAGATCACTATGTACCTCATCAGAAGCTTGCAACAAGGATTTCTCCTCCTAGATTATTTAAGCTAGACGTTAACAGGATTGCATAAAGAAACATCAACTAAATAGAGTCAAATAGGGTGGAGATGCACGAGAAATCAGAAATAAATACCTTACTAGACACATAACAACCCATAACAGTAGCTGGAGCTTCAGGACTTTTCTCATTCTTAACTAGTTCATTCTTAACTAGTTCTTCCCCAGGCTCTCCACCGTTCATGACTCTTAGAGCTTCAACCAACCGAGCACGCCACTGTAAATGTTATAACCACATAAGCCATACAAAATTCTAAGATAAAAAGAAATTCATGCCCTTAGGTCACTGATGCTGCGGCTAAATATCAGCATTCTAACAGAATTCTATATAATAATGAAACGTTCCATGAAGCATTTAGATTCAGCTAGGTTTCAATCTTATGGTAAAGCAAATATTAATGAAAGGTAGAGATATAGATAACCAAACTAAAATGGACATATCATATATCAAAAAGTTCTAGATTCTCCGCATAGGCTGTTAAACACAAGAAAAAAAATCAAAATAAAAAAAGCAGCTATATGAACCAATTTAATAAATAATGATATTGAAAAACAAGAAAATGCTACCAAACTATAAAGTTTTTTGAAACAAGACTCAAGCAATGGACAATGCAACGCAGAGCATAGAGGTTAACATTTGATGTACAACGACCACTCTTCAAATATGCCCAAGTAAAAATTTTCCGAAAGCAAGAAAATCAGAATATGATAAATCAAGGAAACCCAATATAAAAATTACCCTTAGGAGACTGCGGAATGCAAAAGGATTGTTTTTTTCTGATCAAAATCAAAGAAAAAAAAAGGAGCTTCTCAAACAAAAATGTACCTCATCACTTAAGAAATTTGAGTTTTCTGCAAATGACTAAAGAATATTCCAACTTATAATAATTTTTTTGCTGATCTTTCAACCAAAGGTCCTCCCAAAATCATAGCAAAAAGAATGTCACTTTCAACATAATCACACGCCTTATGAAACCCCGTGTACCAACAGGAGACCCTTCCTGAAAAGGCCCCAATTCCCTGAAATCTATGGAAGACCACAAATCCTATCTCCCTCAATGACACAAAAAAGAATCCATTTCATGCTTTCTACTTTCATTAACTCCAGGTCCAAATCAGAGGACAAGAAGACAAGCACATGGATTCATGACATCACCAGATTTGTAACTAAGCTACAGGAGTACTCCCTTATTCAAGATTGTCAGAGAAAATTCAAATTGTTTTTGAGATCAAACTTGACACGAGTTATAGATCTCTTGTTTGGGCCTGTATATTTTGTTTGTTTTAATGGTGAATCGTGTTTGATTTGATGTAAGATAAATTTCTTGTTGCTAAGTTTCCTATTATTTAGCACAAATTAAATCATGCTTGCATATGAAAAGCGACACAAATGATTGGATTTTTTATTTCTCAGAACCCAAGCCCCATTGACCAAAACACAAAAAATGCCATCTGAGTTCATAAAAAACCTATTCTCACCCATTTAAACATACTTCAACTTGCGGTCCTACAAATAAAAAGCAGGTTAATGGAGTAAGCTTTTGTATAGTACGATATCAAATTAGAATTTGAAAATACATTATCTTGAGTTGTTAAACAAATTTCAAACAAATTATGTCAGACTCCTATTGTGAAACAGCTAGAAATGGGTGTGAATCTAAGAAATCAAAGAGACCTACATTCGAGCATGTTTATTAACATGAAAAGCATCATGAACCAAGCAAAAGCTGATCAAATAACAAAGTGGAAATAAACAAGTACTAACAAAAACTAAATTAAAGTTCTTCATCAAGCTTTGTTCACACCACTTGCTACTAGCCATCAAATGAAAACTGCAACGAAAGGAAAGTCCATTTTATAGAGTGCTGCAATGCTATGGGAGTTGACGAGCCAAAAAAATTAAAAAATCTACCTAAATTCTTAACCTAGTCAGACGGGCATATGCTTCATATGCATCCAAATTATTAAAATGGTTCACAACAGAACAAGGCTGAGATTTAGTATTAATAAAAATGGAAGAAAGATTCCACGTGATCAACTGCTAGCAAGCATTTATATGCAAAGGGTATCCATCCTGATAAAGGCAGAGAGAATACCGGTGCTGCACTTGAATGTGTACATTGCAAACACGCCATAAAGGCATTCTTCAAGGCATGGTGTGCCCCAGGAACCTGTACTCCTTTGATAACGGACAACTCAGGATCCAGAGAAAGCAGAACTGGTAATATGCGACCATAAAAAGATGGCCTCCTCTTTGCAATAACTGAGACACTGAAAGCGTGTATCATCAAATTAGAAGGACAGAATAAGAGCATCATAAATAATATACACCATCAATTGACTATATACCATACTAATTAAAATCTAATGTAAGATAGTCTGCTTTCTTCAAGAATCAGAATATGCATGAAGATAATGTAATTAAATATCTTGTTGGTAATTTAATGATTCCAAAACATCTGGGTATCCGAATTCCAGTAAATAAATACTCAAATACAAAGGGAAAATATCAAATCAAAAGCACATTAGATTTTCCAACCCGCAATTTCAGATTGAAGTCCTTAAGATCTGATGTAAGAAAAGCAGTCTGGTAAACAGAATGAAAAAAATATCATTATTTGAGTTAACCAAAGAACACCAGAACCAAACCGTGAATTACTAAGGAATAGGTATGACATGCGACAAATAGAGCAAATGCTAGACGTTAAAATAAAATAAACCTGCTCTCTCTGCATAATAACATATGCCAAATGGCAAGCCAAATGAAAAATTAACATTCAGACAGCCTATTGTAGTAGCTCCAGATATGCTCGTTTCCATCAGGACTTCAGGGATTAATAAAAGTAGAAACTAACAAGTTATATCATCAAAGTTTGATAACTTGAAATCAAAATAATTAGCGTGTCATTAAAATAAATATCTTGCCTTCTCATTTTCCTTTCCAAGAATGAAAATAGTCTTCTCAGGAACCTCAGCTTCGTTTTCTTTTGTCAACAGGGGCACCTTGGTAATGATGTTGGAAGCCCAGTATTAGGCTTCTCATACTGAACAGCAGATCTACTCACACTCTGGCCAGCAAGGTCAGCAATGATTGGCCTTGGCTTATGCTTAAAAACCTTCTTCTTGGCCGGAGGGATTGCAACGGGTGCAATCGACAGTCTAGAGAACACGGAAGGTCTTGGTACAGTAGTGTTCTTAGTCTGAGAGCAATTAAGCATAAGTTCGTGTTAAAACCCCTATTCATTTATGTTGTCTGTTTTATGACATTTGCACAATCAGTTGCTTCAATCATATCGTGGACGACGTGGGTTGCAGGTGGTTATGAGTGGTTTTCTGCCGTAAGAGAGTTAAATGGGTTTTGGCTTCGTCAATGTGGGGGCTGGTCAGCTAATTGGCGTTCAACAGATATCAATTTTCGAGAAGTCGTAGAAATAAGATGTAAGAACTAAACCGGACAGGGCCAATTCAACTGAATCAGCCAGTTACTAATAGACATTCCGAGAACAGGAGCACGATGCGAACAGAGGGGGCAGAAGTATTGAACGGCCGAGCTCTTGTGTGTGAGGGATTGGATCTTTTGCTTTCACCATTTTTAGCAATTGATTGTGTTAGAGGATAAGAATCAACAACTCCTTCATTCCTATCGCCAAAAAAGTGGAGATGAAGAAGAAACTAGAGGAACGACCGAGGAAAGAGGGAAAAACGTTTGTTTTTCAATTGTGTATACATTGTTTCCTAATTCTTTATCTAATTAATGGAAACATTAAATTGAAGATAGGGAAGACATTTGGAAGTGGGGAGAAGAGATTTGTGAGGGAGAAAGATGAAGAATTTGAAATTTGGAAAATCCCCTCGTTGTAAGAAAAATTCCTTTCAGATAAATTTTCTTAGATTTATTATTAAATCATTTTTTTCATGAAAATTATATTTTTTTTTAATTTTAGAAATTTTGAAATGAAAGAAGCAAGTTGAAGGAGTTGAGTTCTTTAAAAATTTAACAAGAAAGGAAATTGAGGCTGAAGCTGTGACAAGGATCAAAGATTTGAAAGATTAAAGTGGGTAATTATAGTTGTGAAAATTTTAATATTTTATATTTTCTTTCGAACATGACATAGTATTTTATATCATGGTTTTACTTCAAAGGATTTACTTCTTTTTTGAAACTATCATGTGTGAAGCAATGTAAGTGTAAATGTATAAATAAATATAGATATTGTTTTAACTGAAAAATGAATGAATGAAAATGTATGTATATGTGAAAGATGTATGTATGTATGTACATATACATATATATATATATATATATATATGTGTGTGTATATTGTGTGTGTTAAAATACAGGTAAAAAGAATACATCAAAGAAATAAAAAGTAAAGTTAAAAAGTAATTATATAGATAAATATAATACATAAATGTATTAAGAAAGTATACAAACGAAGAAATGGTACATAAATGAATGAAAATCAATAAATAAATAAATGAAAAAGGGAATGTAATAAAAGAATGAATGGAATGTAATGAACCAAAGAAAGAAAATGTATTTCAAATGTTAAATGAATGAACATATATCAAAGATTATATGTATTATACTTTATGCATGTTAATTTTTTTAACAGTTACCCACTGAGTTTACTTTGTAAACTCATTCCATTAAATAAATATTTTTAGAAAACTCTCCAAAGATTTAGAAATGGACGTAAGAGAGGAGTACGTCTATAGAAAACGGCGTGCAATTGAAAACAGATAACTTATAATTTATACAAATGTTAAGTATTTGAGAAAATCTGTTAGTGGCTCTTCAGTTGAATGGAGAAAATTTTATGTTATATTACTTATGAATTTAAATGATTTGATCCTACCATCCGACTTTAGTTCCCACCTCATTAAATCGAGCTTTCAGGCCAGGTCATGACAAAAGAAGGAATATATCCAAACCTTTCTACATGACAATTTCATGTTCTAAGGGACTAAGGGAACTACATGACAATTTCATGTTCCCAGGGAAAAGGAATCGGTGTTTCAATTGGCAAATACAAGTTCAAATCACAATTGAAGTAATTTGGAAAGAGAAATTTACAACAGCTTTTCAATCTACATATCTATTTCATTCCCCCTTAGAATTCAAAGATGTAATTATTTTCTTTGGAATGCAAATAGCAGCAAAAAAACATACATGCATAGACACTATGCCCTTAAATTATTAATCGTAACATTCGTGATCATTTATTAGCATCTTATCAGTTACATTACATTTCTTTTACGTTAATGGTATTTGTAAAATTTGGTGGAATGGTTACAAAAAATATACAAACACGAATAGAACTCTTACTTTCTCTAAGAATTGAACTGCAACTAGCTAGAATAACACCTTTCGTTCATGCATAATGTGACCCTTCTATTCCATATAAAATCCATAGACATCATTTTTGCATTCACCAGAATAAAGCATTTACTAATTTGTGCACAATTCTGAAGGACGTGAACCAGATAAGAAAAAAGTACAAAAAAGGTAACAATTGGTGGGTGTTGGGACTGGGGGAATCAGATGGAATTTACAAGTTAACTAAATGGAAAGTAAGATGGTCCTAACCTATTAATCAGCACTATAACTATGGAGTTGCTGAGGAACTTCACTTGGGGAAACTTAAGTTGATCAAGCAATAGTCTCAAACTTTGACCAGCTTCAATCGCCAAATCCCCAACATTAAGGAGAGGGTGGCCTCCCTTTAACCATGATATGCTAAACTGAAGCCCTAAAATATGGTCATCTTGGTTAGAAAAATCACCAACTGTAAACTGATTTCAATTTATAACAATACATTCATGGAAAACCTAATTGAATAAAATAAATCATGTGTACCATCAATTTCTTGGGGAGGATCTGACGGCAAAGTTGGATCAGGTGTATAAAGGAGAACCATTGCCTCAATAAACTTCACAGCTAACAGCCTTACACCATCAATACCAGGCTGGCAATAGAAATAAAAATTACAAGCCAAATATGTGCTAAGAAAATGAAAAATGTAATTCCCACCATGCACATAGACATTACCTGGATTGCTAATGGAAGTACTGCATTTTTTAATTTGAGCATCGCTGCCCAGGATGACTTCAGTGTTTCATCTAACTCACTTGAATTTAAACCCTATATGAAGAGAAAAGGTAGAAATGATGATAATAGAGATGTATATGCAACTAAAAATGTGTAAAAGAAGAAAAGAAAAAAGTTACTGTTAGATGCTTGTGACAGAAAAAAAGTAAAAGCATTGGATCATTTATGATCAATGTCAACAATTATATATATGTATGTGTGTGTATGTACAAGAACACTCATGGTACAAATAACTTTGTAAATTATCAAGTAAACAAAGAAATAATCACATTTTGGAATGTTGAAAACGATTTAAAAGTTAAGACATTCAATTCCTATTAGCACAGAAAACAACTCAAATTTTATCATTCTCAACTCAACTCAAACTTTACTTGACTAGAAATTTAAATTATCGATTTTGAATTGAGGTTGTCTCAAACTCTATTCAACACAATGACTTCAGTGTTTCATTTAATTCACTTGAATTTAAACCCTAAGAGAAGAGAAAAAGGTAGAAATGATGATTATAGAGATGTGGAAATCTAAAAAAGAAAGGTCATTTCTAATATTTTCTAAAAAAGAAATGTCATTTTTAATATTTTCTAACCAAGTTTGTTTAGGTCTACCTCTACCTTTCTTAATATAAGACAAATCTAATATATCTACTTTCCTAGCCGGGTCATCGAATAGCCGTCATTTTATGTGACCAAATCATCTAAGACAACTTTCAATAATCTTATCTTCCGAGCTACTCCACCTTTTCACCTTTCTAAGACAACTTTCTATAATCTTATCTTCCAACTTTCTATACTTCAACTAAAACAACTCAAATTTTATCATTCCTCCCCCCACTAGATCTATTACCACTAAAATTACACTAAAACAAAAACTTTTAAACTATAAGGTTGGCCTCCATAATTCAAATTTACCTTCAACTCTCTATTAGACTTATCAACCAGAAGAATATCATCAGCAAAAAACATACAATGAGGTATAAGTGAGAACATCCATGACTACAGCAAAAAAGATATGGGCTTAGAGCTAGTCCTTGATCCAATCAAATTGAAATAAGAAAATATTTGGTCATACCACCTTGGGTTTCTCTTTAGGAAATAAAATTCTAATTCAAATTCAATTGAATTTGAATAATTTCCAAGGTTAAAGGAGTTGAATTAGGAAGGGTCTTAAATACTACCTTTTGAAATTTTGGTCTTAAATACTACCTTTTGAAATTTTGGAGCCAAGGAAGGGTGTTGGCCGGTGGCTTAGGAAGGAGGATTAGGGTTATGGTCGGCGGCTAGGTTTAGGATTAGGGTTTGAGACTGGTGTTTAGGAGGAGGGGGAGGGCCTTGGGGCCGGCGGTTTGGAGGAGGAGGTGGCCGTGGAACCGGTGGCTTGGAGGGGAAGGGGGCCTTGAAGTCGGCGGTTAGGAGGAAAGAGAAGGAAGGCCGGCGGCTTGTGTAAGATGACGGGGATGATCTTGGTGGAGGAGGTGGACCACAAACCCTGACGCTTCCTGCGGTTGGTGGGTATTAGGTCGCCCTCACCTAGGGAATTCACCACGGTTCTCACAAGAACTATCAAAACTCTCAAAAGAGCACAAGTGCTGAAATTTTCATAATAATCTTCATTAACCATCACAAGAATAGGAGGTTATAAATAGCTCAAAATATAAAAACAAAACAAAATACAAAAGTGCCCCCTGAGGTCACAAGCACCTATTCCTCAAGTGAGGGTAAAATTTAAAAAAAAAACAACAATAAATCAAATACAACTAATAACTCAAAATAAAGTGGTGCGATCGTGGCCGTAGATTGACGACCCCTTCTCTGGTAGACTCTCCATGGTCGAATGTCCTCATCAAATAACTTTGTAAAATCATCAAATAAGCAAAGAAATTATCACATTTTGGAATTTTGAAAATGATTTTAAAAATTAAGTCATTCAATTCCAATGAACATGGAATGGAATTCAAAATTTATCATTCTCAATCAGACTTGAACTTTACTTGACTAAAAATTTAAATTATTGATTTTAAGTTGAGGCTGACTCAAACTCTATTCAATACAACCCCAATCCCTAGGCATGTAAACAAGTCTAGGTAACTCCGTAACATCCTAAACACCACATAGGGAAGTATTGTTACTATTCTACAAATGTTACTGTTCTACAAACAATACGAGAATCTTGCATTAAGGTGCCAATAAGTGGGATGAATGTGTTTCCTTGTTTCGAGAAGCAGTAAATAATATTACAACAAAAAAATTGCTTAAATGATAGCAGTCTGACTTGAAGTAGTGCAGAACAGGCATCAAGAGTTGTGTAAACAATGATGCACAAAAATAAATAAACTTCAAAGCAACAGCTTCAGATTATAGAGTGGTGTTTATTTAGGCAGTGTGTAAACACGAAAAGTGCAATGCACGCCGCAACGGGTCTTTATTTCTTTGAAGTGCGAACCACAAACAAAGTGTGTGCTTCAAATCACTAAATAACACCTGATGTTTTTGGCAACAATGGTTTTGGAGATAATTAAGGCTGCTCTTTCTTAGACCATTTTTACTTGTTGGAATACCAAATGTCATAAATTGACCACAGAATTACATGCATAAAATAATAGTAACTTCTTATCAAAATGGCTTACAGCTGGTGGGTTCAAAAATTTCTCGGCTGAATAAAAAATCAAGTATACCGAACACAAAACATTGAGAACAATTAAATTCCTTTCATATAGAACAAAAGAAATATAGCTCTGGTTTATTCTCATTGGCTTCAGATATTTTTTGGCATTAGCTTTATGAATTTCCCTTCTTCATCCACTCCTTTAAATGTTAAATAAGGTGTTGCATTAATTTTAACAAGCCTTTTGCGTAAGTTGTGGTCATGTGACTTTTAACCTATACATGTTCCTTACTAATCAATTCATATAAATTCTATTAATATGACATATTGTTGCAACTTCTACCTTCTAACTACTCGGCATGTTGACTTCAAGGACCATTGTATATGCTCAAATCACCTCAATTTATTTTTCACATGATCTAATGGGATGTCTTTGCTAACTTGTAATATTAAATATGATATTGGGATGATAAAGAGCTGGTTTGTATTGCAAATGCTAATGTAGCTTTGTCAAGTAGCATATCCAGAGATCAATCTGAGCATCATATAAGCATAACTTTTATTAAAGGCAACATTTAAATTGGAAGTTAACTTATTGCAATATATTAGATACATCAAATACCTTTAAAAACAGCCTAAATCTTGAAGGTCTGCATTCTAGGTAGAATATTCCAATAAACACATCAACAGCCCTAAAATCATAAATTAGAAAAAGCATATTTGTGATCTTCTCACAGGGTTCAATTCCCGCACCACCAACCAAAAAAAAAATTTAGTTGTGATCTTCTCAAAAACAAAATAAGGATGTTATATGCCAAACAAAACACATTTAAAACAAATATGTTTTTGAAGGCTTATTTAACAATCGCATCACTACCATACTCAAATAAATGTTGCATGAGTAATTTACCCTACAAATGATCAAGAAACTAAGTAAACCAGACATTATAAGCATATAAGCACATGAATGTCATACAAATAAGATAGTCCCGAATATCTAATGTTTATTTAAAAAATATTGACAAAATATTTACCGATCAGGGTGACAATTGACATGTGATAATTACTTTGTTGAACTTGCCTGAATTGCAATCTTCACGAGAGAATTGCAAAATAAAGAAGTCCCGGTCACAATTGCTTGTCGAGCAACTGGTGGTGTTTCATCCTTCAAATATGTTATTAGTGTAGGAACAATAGCAGGCAGAAGTTCTACATGCTCTTTTCCAATCTCACCGAGTATCCTGTATTGATAAGAACACAGAATGAAAAGGTTGCAAACCATTATACATTAGATGAAAATATTATATATGATCTAACAGTGAGCAAATAACAAAAAGAAAAAAAAATGAAGTTTTGGTTCAAGGAATAAATTATATGGTAAATAACTAGTCCTTGAAGCTTCTCAAGGGTGGCCTTCACTGTTAATTTTGTTAATTTTGAACAACACCACATAGAAGAGCACGAAAAAATTAAATGATCAATATCATGATTAATGGTGCTAAAGTTTTAAAATTCTTGACTACAAATAATCTTTAATAAATCCATGACAACATGTTAATAACATGAAAAGCTGGAACATGGTAAAGACTAAATGCCTGAAGTAGATCAAGATTGTAAAAGGAAATATATACCATAAGTCAACTAATTATCCCTTCAAGGCCCTGCAATTGAAAATATAAGCTTACAACCCGCACTTAATTAAAGCAAACCTAACAATAATAATAAATTCAAACCATATATCTACAAAATCCATTCTAACCCACTCATCTCAGTTCTAGCAAACCCCTTTAAACTTGCAAGGGTGCCAAAAAGATGAGCCATTGATTTTTTTTTTTTTTTTTTTTTTTTTTTTTTTTTTTTTTTTTTTTTTTTTTTTTTTGCATCATAAAATAAGTTTTAACAGTTTTCGAAGCATGTTTTAGCTGATACTAACTGAAACTAAATTGTTAACACCTCTAACAAGTCAAAGCAGAAGTAAAAAAAGAAGCAAAGGTTGAGGTGCATTTAATGAGGGAAGGGATATGATGTAGGCAAGGGAAGGGGTCAAATCAAATCCTAAATTTTGGATTTTGACTACTATTGGACTTACTAGCTCATTAATTCTTTGAACTGAAATTTAGCTCATTACGAGCTGTTTTTTAGTTCATTTATTTAAATAAAATGATAGCTCATTATTATGTGGAATTGGCCCTTTACCTTCCCCATACTACCTTCTCGTTTTCCTCCTTGTCTCCTCGGTTTCTCTTGGGCTTTTGTTGTTCCTGTGCTGTCGCCCTTTGTTTCCTACGTTGTGGCCCTTTGTTTACTATGCTGGGTGAATTTCCCGTGCCTTTGCCCCTTTGGTTCTGCTGCTGGCTGCTTGGTTCTGCCGCTGGCTGCTTGGTTCCGCGGCTGTCTGCTTGGTTCCGTGGCTTTTCTGCTTGGTTATGTGGCTTTTCTGCTTGGTTCCCGTAATCCCTCTTCTCTATTTTGCTGTGCCGTTTGGGGTCTGATGTGTTATGGTTGTCGGTCTTTCATTTTCCTAAATCTGATAGGTTTATTTAATGTTGTTTGGTGGCTGTTGGGTGGGGATTTCAATGGCTGCATCTCTGTTTTCTGTGCAGAATTCCTGCTGCAGTTTTTGGAGAATTTTGGCCTTTCATTTGGTGTCTTTTGGCCATCTAGTTCCCATAATTTATTGGGCTAATAATTGTGTGAAGTGGCTGTTTGGCTGTCAGCTTTTCTCCTATAAATACAAGATGTTTGGGCAAAGAAAAAAAAGAGTTTATGATGAGATTTTAGAAGCCAAAAACCTGAGGGTTTTTTCTTCCTTCTTTGGAAAAGCTTGCGAGCTAGTTCCATCCCTTCTCCTTCTTCTAGGAAAGCTTGCGAGCTTGTCCTTTATTCGTCTAGTCTTCTAACCTCTTTCTTCTCTCCACTAGTGCCATTCCATATGTATCCTTCTTCTCAAAGCAAAGGCAAAGCAGTTTTAGGAGTTTATGTTTGTTTTATTTCTTAAGTTTGTAAGTCCTTTTCTAAGTGTCATGTAAGGTGTTTGTGTTTGTAAGTGTCAAAGTTTATAAGCGTCTTGTAAGAGTCTTTATGATATAAAGGTGTCTCTTTTTGAGCATTTTGTCTTTTCTATTATCTAGGACGTCTTTGTTTTTGCTAGCAAAACTTTGGGTCCCAAATTTTTGCTTGCATCAATTTGGTATCAGAGCAATTTGTGTGTCTTAGTGAGTCATAACAGCTATTGTGTGAGTCTAGGTTCCTTTAGGTTGAGTCTTTCTTTCTTTGAGTCTAAGTTTCTTTTTTAAGTTTTTATAAAAAAATGGAAAATCACAAAAAGATTGATTCAATCAAAGAAGAAAGCAACCTAGAAGATTATGAAATTCAAAGTCCAATGGACAGATGGATGCCGTCAGAAGGGAGCTCAACTAATCTGCTTCAGAATGAATTATACAAACTTCAATCGAAGATGCATATGTGTACGAAGTACATGAAAAAGAAGCAACTGTTGCACGCTCAGTTTATGCAAGAACGAGATGAAATTCTAAAAAGGTATGAAGTAAAAAATTCAAGAGCTTGATGCCCTTCCACCATCTCCTCGGATCAAATCTAAAGAAAACTCATCGGGAGATGAGTTTTTCAAGTAAGGGAGTCTGATATAGGCAAGTGAGGGGGTCAAATCAAATCCTAAATTTTGGGTTTTTACTACTCTTGGACTTGCTGGCTCATTAATTCTTTGAGCTGAAATTTAGCTCATTATGAGATGTTTTTTAGTTCATTTATTGAACTAAAATGATAGCTCATTATTAAGTGGAATTGGCCCTTTCCCTTCCCCATACTACCTTTTCATTTTCCTCCTTGTCTCCTCGGTTTCTCTTGGATTTTTGTTGTTCCTATGCTGTGCCCCTTTGTTTCCTGTGCTGGGTGAATTTCCCGTGCCTTTGCCCCTTTGGTTCTGCCGCTGGCTGCTTGATTCCACGGATGGCTACTTGGTTCCGTGGATTTTCTGCTTGGTTATGTGGCTTTTTTGCTTGGTTCCCGTAATCCCTCTTCTCTGTTTTGCTGTGCCATTTGGAGTCTGATGTGTTATGGTTGTTGGTCTTTCATTTCCCTAAATCTGATAGGTTTATAAGTTTATTTAATGCTGTTTGGTGGCTGTTGGGTGGGGATTTCAATGGTTGCATCTCTGTTTTCTGTGCAGAATTCCTGCTGCAGTTTTGGAGACTTTTGGCCTTTCATTTGGTGTCTTTTAGCCTTCTAGTTCCTATAATTTATTGGGTTAATAATTGTATGAAGTGGCTGTTTGGCTGCCATCTTTTCTCCTATAAATATAAGATGTTTGGACAAAGAAAAAAAAGAGTTTATGATGAGATTTTTGGAGCCAAAAACCTGAGGGTTTTTTCTTCCTTCTTTAGAAAAGATTGCGAGCTTGTTCCAACCCTTCTCCTTCTTCTAGGAAAGCTTGCGAGCTTGTCCTTTCTTCGTCTAGTCTTCTAAACTCTTTCTTCTCTCCACTAGTGCCATTCCATATGTATCCTTCTTCTCAAAGCAAAGGCAAAGCAATTTTAGGAGTTTATGTTTGTTTTATTTCTTAAGTTTGTAAGTCCTTTTCTAAGTGTCTTGTAAGGTGTTTGTGTTTGTAAGTGTCAAAGTTTGTAAGCGTCTTGTAAGAGTCTTTATTATATAAAGGTGTCTCTTTTTGAGCATTTTGTGTCTTTTTTATTATCTATGAAGTCTTTGTTTTTGCTATCAAAAAATTAGGGCCCTTCCCAAATTTTTGCTTGCATCAGGATATCTAGAATAGGTCATACAATAAATCTAAAAGAGGCGAAATCTCTCCTATCCGCAGTCACCTCAAGCATGAAAGTTTGGGAGAAAGCATCATCTAGGAAAGCATACAAAAAAACAATAAAGCCAAAGAACATAATTGTTGAACGTATAAAGCAGTTCTAAGCTACAACTTAAGATAAAATAACAAATCCAAATGCAAGGTACTAGTTACCACTGTAAATTGCAATTCGTAGCTAATTGGTTCACTGCTATTTCAATAACAACATTTTGTTGTCCACAGTCACCTTGAGCAATATCTTTTTTGCTTTAGTCATGAATGTTCTTACTAGAGAATTACAAGAGGATGTTCCCTGGTGTATGCTTTTTGCTGACGATATTTTTCTTGTTGATAAGACTAAAGAGGGAGTTGAAGGTAAAGTTGAATTATGGAGATCAACCTTAGAGTCTAAAGGTTTTCGTTTGAGTAGATCTAAAACCAAATACATGGAGTGTAATTTTAGTAGTAATAGATTTAGTGGGGGGTTTGTAACTTTGAGCGATCTAGCCATTAATAAGAGTACACGTTTTAAATATCTTGGATTTATTGTTCAAAGTGGTGGTAAAGATGATGGGGATATTATTAGTAGAATTTAAGTGAGATTGATGAAGTGGAGGAATGCATCAGGCCTGTTTTGTGATAGAAAAGTGCCTCTCAAACTTAAGGGAAAATTCTATAAGATAGTGGTTAGACCTATAATGCTTTATGGCGCAGAATGTTGACCATTAAAAGAGAAGCATAATATAAGTTAAGTGTTGCAGAGATGAGGATGCTTAGGTGGATGGGTGGCTTTACTCTTAGAGATAAGATACAAAATGAGCATATACCTAAAAAGGTTGGACTAGCTCCAATGGAAGATAAGATTAGAGAGAGTCGCCTTAGATGGTTTTGTCACATAAAATGGCGGCCTTCCGATGACCCGGTTAGGAGAATAGATGTATTAGATGTCACCTATGTTAAGAAAGGTAGAGGTAGACCTAAAAAGACTTCGTTAGAAAATATTAGAAATTACCTTTCTTTATTAGATCTAAATAAAAAATTTGACTCTTAACCGAACACAATGGAGAAATAGGATTCATGTAGCCGACCCCCCGTAGTGGGATAAAAGCTTGATGTTGCTGTTATAGTTCAATAACAACATTATCTTGAGTGAGTGATACCTGAAAACCATTAATTTATTAGTTGTTCTTTGTTTAGTTCAATTTGATGGTCTACAAAGATTGCAATGCTATGTAGAATGATCAATAGAAACACTAATATTACCTTTTTCTGGTTACTCATTTTCAGTCTAGAATATCAGTTAATTTTGTTCTATAGGGTTTAGGGTCTAGAGAGAACAACCAACACTAACTTATGAGACTGCCCGAGTTTCACTAGCTCTGAAAGCCACCAATTTAGCTGAAAAAGCCTATTACCATATATTTAACCATTAGTGTGGTAAACGCTTTGAACATTGCCTCATTGGTACACATCTAAAATAAAATCCAGGGGAAAGTGGAGCGCAAAGCAAAACTAGGTAACAGAATGCCACGAAGTAGCAACAAATCAGATGAGTTTCGTATATTCCTTACTCGGCAAGAAGCTTTCGGGCGGCACCAGGAAGCTGGACCTCCAATTCAGTCAGCCGTGGCGCAAACTCCGGCAGGAGGGTGGAGTCCCGAATGAGGAGGACATCTCTCAACTGGCGCAACTGGTCCAGCTTCGATGCAATATTGCCAGGGGACTTCGCTGAGTTCAGGAGACCCGCTGCTCTGTCGGCCCATCTCGCCATCATCAACACCATCCCAAGCTCTCGCCCGGTTCGATCTCGCCGGAAGCGTCGCGAATCGAGGGAAAATGGGAAACATGTAGCTGAAAACCTAAATTAAAATTAAAAAGCCAATTTATTTATTTTAAATAAATTTAGCACAATATTTAAAATTTTCACCGATATGTTATTATAATTTTTACGAGACATTCCTAGGTCGAAGAGAATAATTTTATAAATTGTTATTAAAGACGAATTTCTTATAATTTCTTAAAACAGTTTTTAATAAAAAATTAATATTTTGTACTAAAAATTTATTTTAAGAAAAAGTAAACAAGACTTTAAAACTCGAATTGGACTGATCTAGTCTTATAAGGAAAGTTAGTTTATAGTTGAGCTGGCCAAAAATTGATTGAAGCGTTGGTTGAATCGGCTAATCGTCGATAGTCCACGTCGGAAAGAATCGCTCGGTTCACAAATCACCAATTTTGAGCTTGTGATCGCACATCTAAAGGTTGAAATTACATAACTTGAATAACTTTAGTAACATGGAATTAGCAAACCTACAGAAAAAATGAGATTTCCCTCACAGCCCGCAGCTCTTTTCTTCATTTCCTCTCCCAGGTTGTGAGTCTCTACAAACTTCTTCGTTCGTGAGTTGCGCATGGTTGGTCCTCTCCCAGATCGCTTGCAGCTGGCTGGTAGAAAGCAAAGCCCTACATGGGGTCCTAGGTTGATACCCATTGGGTATCCACACTCTGCATTGGCGGGTTTTTCCCACCCACGCCCACCTATGATAACTTTCAGGATGTCATACCCACCCACCCACTTTTCACGCTTCTTGAATGTAGTTTGACACGGATTAATGGCCTTGAGGTTTGTTGTCCTTTTCTCTGACTACAAAATTTCAAGCTAAATATCAAAATTTATTGCGAACATGGCACGGTTTAGTGTTGTGCACTGTGTAATAATGATTACTGTAATATATTGCATGCATATTGTGATTAGTAATGTAAATCAGTTTGTCCCCTGATGTTAAGTACCCACTCATACCCACACACGATGTCATGGGTGTACCCATGCCCATTGGGTATGGATGGGTATGTGGGTGGGTGTGGGTATGGGTACCCAATGCAGGCCTCTAGTAGAAAGGGATGATAGATCGCTGTTGGGATTCCTAGAGACGCTCAATAATGTCTCCTTCTAGTGCCCTATGGATCTCCCTCTGGCCATGCATCTTGTGTGAATACTCTGAAAATGTAATTAAATGTTTCTTTGATTAAAGTAGTCAAGTTTTTAGGGCAATCACTTCGGCTTGCTAGATTTGAAATGGACTCCGTGCTAGATTGTTGCATGCAGGAGAAGTCAGCTTTTGAATTTTTTTTTTTTTTTTTCTCGAGGGCATATGGCTTATTGCCAAATCCAAGTATTAACGTATTTAAAATTCTTTTAAATATTGGTATATATGAACCATGTGAATTTAACAATGTGTTCTTATTGCGATAAGACAAGAATGTGAATTTTTATTTACTAATTTGAGCTCCATGAGTTGGATTCGTTTTATTCTTTGTTTGATGAGCTTTGCTAGAAATATTATTTGTCTATGGTTAACATTGAATTTAATTTGAGTGTGAAAATTTGTATCCCATAAGCATGATATGTGAATTTAATTTCAGCTTAAATCATATTAATAACCTCAAAGGTCCATTTAACTTGGAAACTAATTTATTATATGCTGAATTTTAGCTCTCAATAACTTGTTTCTCGACCAACACATATAGACATTAATATTCAAATGGGGGGAATAAAATCCATTCACTTACAATTTATCATGCATTTATGTAAGTCATCTATATATATATATATTCTATTTGTTTTTCTAGTCGACAAGTTCTCCAACTAATAGTAGGAAGTTTGCCAAAAACAAACATTTTGTGTTAAGATCATATATTACTCATCTTGACCATAATATTACTCATAATATTGAAATCATGTTGAAAGCTATTTTATTTTAGAATGGATCCACCGACAACTTCAGCTCATAGCATATGTGAAAAGGTATATATTGCTTGGAATCACTATAGTGAGACTAAGGCTTCGTTCGATACTACTTTTTATTGCTTTTTAAAACAAAGTTTTATTACAAAAATAAATTTTTTTTACTAAAACTATGTGCTAAGAAGCAATTAAAAAGTTGTCCCAAATGAAGCCTAAATGTACAGACAGAAAAAAGCAATTAAAATGCCTTTATTGTGGGATTACATATAAAGGTGAAGACATTAATAGGATAAAACAACTTCTAGTAGGAATTAGAAGTAACATTGCTTCATGCAAAAAGTCAACAAGACATTCTTCATCAAGTGTTAGAAAATTTGAAAGAAATAGGCAAGAGAAAACAACAAACGCATGAGTTCGAGCATAACACAATTGTATTTTTTGATGTGCCTATAGATAAAGAAAGGGGTTCTTTGTCACTTCACAAATCATAATCTTCAGATGCACATCATAAAGGCATTGATAGAGAAAAGATAAAGATATATAAGATTAAGAATTATTTTGCACTAAGAACTAAACCAGGATCACAGACGTCTTTGAAAAGAGTTATGGCATCCAAAGATGTCACCCACCATGCCAATTTGACTCTAGCAAGATGGTTTATAATTGTTGTATCCCATTTAATGCCTCAAACTCTGCTTTTGCACAAACGGCAATTGATGTTATATATTGTTGTAATTAGACTAGGGTACAAGCTACCATTATACTACAAATTTGGATTGATTCTTTTGAAAGATTATAAAGAGGAATGTAAGCTATTGATTGACTCATAAAAAAGATCATGGAAAGAAATAGGTTATACCAACATGGCTGATGGTTAGACAAATAATAGAAATAGTACCTTGATAAATTTTCTTGTGTATTGTCCAAGGGGCATTGCTTTTTTGAAATTTGTGATGCTTCTGATGTTACGAAGGATGCCACTACTTTGTATTCATCATTTAGTCGGGTTATGGAATGGGTAGGACCAAAGAATATTATGCAGCCAGCTACTAAGTTTCTAACAATGCAACAAACCAAAAGAAGGCTGGGGAACTACTACATGAAAGATTTGGCAACATATATTGGTCATCATGTTATGCGCATTACTTAAACCTTATTCTTAAAGATATTGGAAATATACCACATATTCAAGAACTTGCAAGAAGAGCAAAAAAAGTTATAATTATTGTTTATAACTATATTTTTGTTTTGGCTTGGTTAAGAAAAAAGTCAAGTTGGAAGGAAATAACTAGGCTTGGAATTACTATATTCGCTACAACATTATCATGAAATAATTTTTTATTGAATTGAACTCCATTATCTATGATCATCTTTGTAAGAAGGCAAAAGTTGTAAATGATGTTCTTCCAAATGAACTATTTGCCATTTGATTTAGTAATTTTTGTTAATAGCACAACTTCCACCTACTTGGTGAAGTAGCTAACAACTAGAAAAATGGACTTTTTTCTATTTAGTGACTATGGGCAAAGGTCCAGATGATGTCTATTCCCAATAAGAGAAGGTTCACGAACTTTGCAGAGATGAAAGTTCTATTAGTGGAAAAAGTGAGATTTGAATACATTTACTAGCTATTATATAATTGAATAATTTTAATGCATCATGTTTTATTCTGGGCTAGTAAAATCCATGTCTTAAGATTTTTTAAACTAGATCTCAACCACTAAATTACCTTAATTAGAATAAAATTAAAATGGAGTAGAGAAAATTATAAGGAGTGATGATGTTTTGTAAGCAGTAGGAGAGGTAATGTTGTAAGATTGTCCTCTCTTATGGGAAGAGGACTTGTGGGAGTGTTGTGATGCTAGGTGTTGCCATCACAGTGCTAAGCTCTCAGATTTGAGAATATGGGAAGAACTAGAAAATTCTATTTAAGCATAGTAACATTGGGGAGGTGGTGTTATGGTACTGGAGCTAAGATGTTTTTTTTTTTTTTAATTTAAAACATCTTATTCTATTTTAAAACCTCGTCCCATTCTTCATTACGGGAGAAGAAAGTGAGAAGGGGGGGGAGAGAGAGAGAGAGAGAGAGAGAGAGAGAGAGAGAGAGGAAATAAGAAAGAAAAAGAGGAGAGAGGGATTCGAAAGCTATAGATTGGTTATTATTAATATTGGCAATTCTAGTAGTCCATCTGTCATCATAATTATATATTAATGTTATAATAATCTTATGTTGCATTCAATTTACAAAATCCATAGCATGACACTAAAGAAGTTTTAATTTTTTAGCATGACAAGTATACTCTCTGAAATGATACAAGGGCCCTCTATGTTCTATTCTATTTTGGTGTCATTTGTCTTATGTCACTTATTGAATGCAAATGTGGGAGGTTATTATGTTTTGGCTTCACCTTTTACATGAGGGTGTGGGAGGTCAAAGGAAGTTATAAGTGGAAGTGGAGTTATAATCAGACATTGAGATATATGTATCATATTCATGCATTGCACATTCTGAAAAATTATTTATAAACTCAATACAAATAATATTTTGAATACACTATGATTATTCTAAGACCTTTGAATATATTATGATAAAATAAGAAGGTTAAAGTGCAAAACTATTCTGATATCAGGTATATATCTTAACTTGTATAAAGTCTATCTATGAAAGAACAAGTGTTGACTCTAAAACTAAATATATACTAATAATTCTTAAAAGTTTAATTTCTATTAGCATTTATAGTATACTTTATTAATTAACTAAACATTGAATAAACTAATTTTATTATTTTAATGGATATTAATACCTATAATAAGGAAGAGAAAGAAGTCTCTATTTCTATTATACTCACTCTAATATATTCCTTTGGTGTTTCCAAAAGAAGGAAATGCCCTCTTGAGTAGAGTTGTAAGGGAAGGATCGTTAGGAACATATATTTTTGAGGAATTTAAATCCAATTTTAAATATTTTGATAGATTGATCATATATACACTAGATTATTATATATTTCATTTTCTGAAATAAAATTAAATTATATTTAAATTGATATTATTATTTTGGAACTTCATAGTTAGTTTTGGTTTATTCTACTTTATAGTTGAGTTAAAATTTAGGTTTAGGG